GAGAAAAAATCTTAATGAACGGTCTATTAAGATTTAGAGTAAGTATATAAGAAAACGGGACTGATTTAAGACTTCAATCTTTTTCAGTCAAGACTTCAATTTTTCAGTATACAATATTTCGTATATTGTATACTGAAAAATTTACAAAAAGTTACACTTCAATAGAGTCATTCAGATGTAATATTATAATGTTATAACGATTGTAATCTATGATTATAGTATATTATAGCATAGTCAAAAGTATTGTCGATGTCTTTGAGTCATAGTGGAAAAACCGCATAATAAATGAATGCACAGAGAAAAAATGTTTATATGACATCATATATGTACGTACATATGTAGACTAAGTAGGTAAATAAAAATAGAGAACAGAAATAGTTTATTCTATATTTATAAGTACTGCATCGAGTATTTATTATTTAATTATTTATTTATTAGAAATATTGTTATGAATTAATTAAATTAATTAATATGTAATTATTTTCATAAATCAGTTATGCTTATTTAATATACACGATAGTTTGTGTAAGTGTATATAAAAAATGTGATAAGAGTTAATAAAATTAATTGTAACGACAGCTATAATATAACATTTCCATCTTATATATTGATAAGTTGATAACCTGTACTTTTGAAGTCGGTCAAACACAAACAAAAACATACTCGTACAAAAACATGTTTTGGCATCGTCACGTATGTATGTTTGATAATGACAGTGTGGACGTTGAACCTCTATAATTAGACTTCAACGATGTCAATATATATATACTAAGATGACATGTTTATATATATGCTATTATCTAACGACTTCTCCTGTTTTTCACGGGTGCAATTATTATATGTATCTCGAAGATTTATAATTTTGCATTAGAGAAGCAAATCGTGATCTAGACTTTGATTCTTTATAATCCATAGGTCGCTGTTCAAATCCGGCTCGAAGGACGATATTATGTACGAGATAAGGTTGAATTATATTTTGAGCAAGAAAATGCACGTCGGTGCTGTAGTAAAAATATTTGCAAGTAACAGTTCCTTCAATGTATTGTCTATAAACTTGTAACTTACTGAAATATCACAGGTAGTATCAATTGAAAATTAAAAAAAATAATATAATTATCTTTTCAAATAAATATCTACGAATCAGATTTTTTGCAATAATTGTGAAGAATTTATGTAGTGACTATATAATTAGGTATAACATCAACAATTATCTGAAGTCTGATAAACAGACTGAAAACAAAGTTACATTGTTTAAAATGATTAAAACAGAAACAAAACAATGCATAATTAACAACTATCAATGCAAAATAATTAACGAGATATTCTATGGTTTTACACAAACAATATATCGGCTTTATTTAAATAATTTTAGATAAGTTTGATGTAGATGTTAAGAAGTTTATTTATTGTTTGGATGTTATAGGTCAAAGTACTAATCTCAACCTTGTACATTACATTTATTGTATCACTTTTTTTCCTATGTGTGTGTACAATAATGAATAAAAAAAGTACGTTGAGGTTATCAAGTATTTTTTAATGGATGCCAATGAAATAGTGCACTCACCTGTGCGAACACTGGCGGGTCACCAGTGCAGGATGATTGTGAGATCAGGTCAGTTAGTCCATCATAACAAATTCATTAGTTTATAACAACCATGGTTTCTCGATGGAATCGCGTGGAGGTTGACCTGACGTGGTCATGTCTATGTCATGTCTGAAGTGAACATTAATAACAATCCCTTTGCCATTATCAAGTATCAAGATTGAATTAGATGTATATACTACTATACTAGAGCTTAGTTAAAAGAAAATTGGATCAATATTGTATTATCTTTGTAATCAAAACAAATTGCTATCACTGCGATCCTCAGAGAAGCTATTAATTTGCAAATACAGGGTAATAATGTCACACGCTAGGTCGCCCACGACTGTCAAAGGGTCGAATATCATTACGTACATATTGTAGGAAACTGACTGAAAAATTACAGAGCAGACGCGAAAATTGACGTCACTAGGTTATTCCTTACATTACAGAACAGTAAATGTACTCTGCGATTTCATCCACGGTTCTTAACGGATTCTTAATATTTGTAATGTGATAATGTCATATAACTTTAAGGTATTTGCTACCAAGTACAATACAACTTTAATCTGATACTAATCAAGTAATCTCAGTTAGGATAGAATACTAAATTAGGATTTGTCGCATACGATATAAAATATATAATCAACGTTTTCCTAAAGTTGACTGGAAGATTTTATGTAGTAAAATAAAATTTGTAGTGCATAATTTTATGACTACTTATTTGACATATTTATTTATATAAGCTGTGGTTCCATATATTTGGTAAATATATTAAACTAGATTGACGTAATCATCATGTCGTAAACCGTGTACCTACTAGGTATGTGCCTTACGACATAAATATAAGATATACCTACTAACTACGTCACTCTTCATGATAATTAACCCATAATATCATAATTAGAGACTTTAGTTCTTCGTATAAATTAGTATGTAGTCGCCAATAGGATGGACTCTTGCTTAATAATAATTTCGTCATAAAGCAAAGAAGTACTAGTAAAAACTTTGTTCTGTGGATTGTGTAATTATTATTAAATTAGTTTTAGATTATATTTGGCTCGGTAAACTTTTATTTTTATTTCAATCTATTTTTTAGATAAAGCATAGCCTAAAGCCAGATGATTTACATGCTTACTTTGTTAGTTTAAAAATATAACAGTTACAAAAACAACTATGACGCGTTTATAAATAAGTAATGAAATAAATAAATGTAAATTTTTAAGCGATTCAGTTTACGTCATTTTTGGAATTACTGAGGAAGTGAAAACTACGTTTTACTAGTTGCATTGCAACCTACTCCTCTTTCATGTCTTCTTTTTCTGAATCAGATTTCCAGTGCCTATCAATTTTATATTAAATCAAAATAGATTCGTATCATTCAAGACAAGTATCCTCGCTTAATGGATTCTAAATTGAAAAATTGCGCCAATCTAGAGGTCATTGACCTTCACGTCACACGATATTCATTCGACCAATGGCGGCGCGACGTGCCTCGTGAACCACCAATAGCGGCGCGGGAATATGTCCTATTGATTTTATCTGATTCATCTCATGCGTGGGGTCCTCCTGTGATGAGATTGATTATGGTCCCGCATTGAAATCTATTAATGCAACAGGCGTGTATAATACACTGCGTTGCTTTATTAGTATTAAATCAGTTTCGGTGTGTGCAATAAAACTAGGTGGTTAACGTAAATTATTATTAAAATATATACTATGAACTTAACTAAATGTATGTTAGGCGATGGTCATATTAATATATATTTTATCATTCCTAGGGATCTCTTCCAGAAAACTATATAACATTAATACCTCCACATGTAGGTAATAGTTTACTACGTAGACGAATGAAAGATCGCAAAGTGGGGTTTGGATTTCTGTTTTTGACACATCCCAACTTTATTGAGTGTAACGCAATCCTTTGTCGAATGTTAAGTATTCTAGAATAAATATTACATATAGTAATATTTAATTTATTACATGTTCCTGGTTTACCTACATACCTACTTTTGATGTATAATTATATAATACGATAAGTAAACAGTATTTATTGTCTTATTATGGTTACTCACTTTATCAGAAAGAAACTTTCAAGGTCAATTGGAGATAAATCGAGTAAAGCAGTCCAAAGTACGTAATTATTTTATATCGTAGATAGGTATCTACTTACTACTACTTACTATAATAGCTGTAATATAACAATTTATAACCATATTAATGTTAGTTATCCTACCGATAATGTATTGTAAATTGATATCTATAAAAAACTACTATGATAAATCTGTTTTTTTATAATTTTTATGCATGGTAAAGGACAATATGAAAATAATTAACTTCGCGATAGTTTGCCGCCAAGTGGCTTGTGTAGATTTAAATTAGTTTTTTTTTTATATTTTTATTCACGGCAAAGGACAGAATTCGAATTCAGAAGAAAATAATTCACTTACGGCTTGTGTACGTACGGAAACGTATTTTGGTTGAAGTGAAATTACAGGGTACAAAGGTATGACATCGTAGTTCTTCGAAATGATAACAGATTAGTGGTACTACAAGCGTCACCTGATGATGTATGTCCGCTATTCATATGTATAGGAACATGACGGTTGCAACTTGAAATCGGTTACCAATTTGTATGTTACGCCTTTCTCGCCTTAACTGCTACACTGCCTTAACTGTATTTGTGGTGGAGAATCAAATAGGTTTATATCTCTACCAGTCATGGTAATGTAAGTGAAGCCGCGGGACAAGCTAATATTGTATGAATATACAAGATGACGCGTGTCTATATTTTTATGAATGATGATGGATGGTGTCGTCTGTACCAATGATATAGAGTACTTCAGTGACATATTAAAGTATGAGGATGAAATCGGGTCATTTTGCTCATTATGGCTAATTTCCATTAAATTAATGTGAATATGTATTATAATGCCAGGACGGACATAACCTATGAATAATTTCAAAATGCAGACGAAGTTATCTCTAAGACTCGCGCGGGACGCGGTAACGATATCACGTCTGTTTTGATTGCTCTGCTATATTTAATTCGAATCTTAATCATATTGCAATTTTAAGATAATTTTAAACTGTAATATTATTCCAATACTAATAACTAATTGAAATTGTGAACTTTAAACTGTGTGATGCACGGATAAATATCATTTTGGACGAAAGTGTTATTAAAAGTGAACGTTATAAATAAATTGAATCAGCTTTGTAGTGACAGTGAACTGTGCGTTGAACTAATAAGTTATTGACCTTTCAATAGTTCATTAGCCGCTATAGGATTGCAAGTGCAAGAGATTACATATTTCGACAAACCTAAACATCAGTTATTGGCATAGTGGTCTGACTGATACTTTCAGTGCATTTGGTGGCCCTGGTTCAAATCCCACCGAAGCCAAATTTGTTTTTCTTTAATTTCTTCATCTTGTCATAATAAAATGTCTTCTAACAGTATTATATGTAATGGATGCCAAACTACTATTCGAGATAGAAGATATTTGTTGTGCGGTGGTTGTAATGGGTATTATGATTTAATTTGCGCTAACGTTTCTGAGCAGCGCTTTTATAATACCCTCACAAAGGAGCACAGGGACGCTTGGAGATGTGTGGAATGTATTAGCAAGAAGCCCAAAAGAGATAACACCAATACACCCGTTCGTGTTGCTGTAGATAGTATCACAATGCAGCGTGGAGCAGCAGTAAAAAGTCCTATGGAGCTCGATATGTCTATAGTGGAGCAGCCTCTGTCACTCACATCGAATCTTAATGACACTGCCAATAATGTGACAGTGGAAATGACAGATTACCAGTCACTTGTTATTGAAATGCGATCGTTTAAAGAGGAACTGAGGGAGGATATGAGAGTCAACCGCGAACAACTTAAAGTTATGACAGATACCTTGTCTGCGCTCATAGGCAGGGTAGCTGAATGTGAAAACCGCATTGATAAACTCAATGACCGTTTGGTTCTATTAGAGTGCAACACAAACACAGATAATGAACCTGGCAACAAATCCCTAGCAGAGTCCATTAAGCAGTTAAAGGCCGAAATAAATGAAAGGGACCAAGACCTTTTACTGAATGACTTGGATATATCTTGTGTTCCGGAGACCGGTGGCGAAAGCCTGCCACATATATTAAAAACTTTGGCTAGTAAGCTAGGAGTTACTATAAGCGATCAAGATGTCATCAGTACGGAGCGCGTGGGCCGCGTGTTGGAGTTTCAGCAGTCAGACACGTCGAAACCGACCCAAGAGACCTCTACTCGCCCTCGTACCATTGTGGTGCGGTTGGCACGGCGTGCAGTACGGGATGAGCTGTTGAGAGCTGCTCGAGTGCGCCGTGGTGCAACTACTGAGGGGTTGCACCTCCCAGGGGTTCCGAGACGGTTTTACATAAACGAGAGATTGACTAGAGTTAACAGGATGTTGTTTCGACGAGCGCGTGAATTAGCGGAGCGGCTTAACTGGCGCTACGTGTGGACGAGAGGTGGTCGAATATTTGCACGTCAATTCCATGGCCATGACTGTCCGCGATTCCGCCTAAAAACGGAGGAGGATCTCGAACGCATTTTTGGTCCAGATCCATTTCGTTCTTCAGCCATTAACTAAGTTAAAGAGTGGATATGTTTCCAGTGACGTATCTGGCGATGACTATTTTACTTGTTATTTTCATATTTTACACTTTGTTTTTATCATTTTTTTAATAAGTAAGAGTATAATCAGCATGAAGTACAATTACAGTTATTTGTCAACTTGTGTAACACCAGTTAGAAAAACTTTTTTCCTATATATATATTTTAAATTATCTAAACTCTTCAATAGGGAATCTTATAATAATTTTGTACGTACAATGGAAAGTGTATATAAGCAGTTAGAGTGCTATATTTGCAAAATGGAAACTTTAATGGAACATATATATAGCTATTATTCTTTATTCTTTGTTTTTGATTCATTTTTATTTAATATGTCTACAAATAAGCATATTGGTTCATTGAAGTCTCGTTGTGGTATATTTAATTGTTGGACTACTTATGTTTTTGTTATGTTTGTTGTATAAGAGTGTTATGCAGAAACGTAAGTGTGTGTGCACAGCAATGTTGCAAATTTATGGGATCCTAATGTACGAATTCATGTTCTCTTTCAATTATTTGGCTGTTCTTTTTCCGTTTATTTTGTATATAATATTCACATGTATTTTAAGCTCAATTATTATTATTTCTCAAATCTAATACACTATCGTAATATACGTATTTTATTAACCAGTAAAATTCAATCATAAAACTAAATTTCTTAAGTTAGCACTATATAATGCTGGTTCTCTGAATACTGGACATGACGACTTTCTCATAGCAATGGATCGTTTTAAAGCTGATATTGTTGCGATAAATGAGACATGGCTACCAGTAGGTCAAGAGGCTCGAGCGCCAGTGGTTCCCGGCTATTGCCTACGTAACGCACCACGCCCTCAAAACATACGTGGTGGTAGGGGAGGCGGTATTGCATTCTATGTACGAAAAGACTAATCCGATTTGAAAAGCATGCTGACGTCGGCATTGAGCAATTATGGCTATCGACGAGATCGAACGGGTATAGTCTAATTGTGGGAACAGCATATAGGCCACCATGGATGAATATTGATATGTTCATAGATGCATTGACAGACACAGTTACACACTTTTCTAAATATGACTACGTTGTCCTACTTGGTGATTTTAATGTGGATATGCTTAATAGATCTCATAGTAGCACTTTGAAAATAGAAGACTTTTTGCAATGTTTAGACCTACAACAGGTGGTGACTGAACCTACTCATCTCTCGGTTAATTCTCACACATTACTAGACCTTGTATGCACTAATTGCCGGATACATGATGTAAATGTCTCAAACATCACTGGATCACTCGGCCATGCCATGATAAATGTTAATGTAACATTAAAAAAACTCAAAACAACACCAAGTACCTTTGAATATAGAGCTATCAAGAGGATAAATTTGAGAGGGTTCAGTCAGGATCTTATGGCCTTAAATTGGAGAGTACTTCAGATTTTGCCTAATATAGATTGTATGGTGGATAAATATAGTTCCTTCCTTATGACTCTTTTTGATAGGCATGCCCCAATAGTATCTATGACAGTGAAGCAAGATCAGTCTCTTCCTTGGATAACGGACACAATCAGAAGTATGATAGAATTACGTAATAGGCCAATATCTTATGACACTTATCGACGTTCTGGGTCTGATGTGCAAAAGCAATATTATAAAGACCTTAAGAAAATGGTAATCAATAGTATTAAAAATGAAAAGTGTGCTTATTTTAATTACTTTATCAATTCTAATGCTGACAATAGTAAGGTATTTTGGAAGAATATTAAAGAAAAAATATTAGTGGATCCTAGTAAAGCAAAATGTCTGCCAGACTTCCTTAGTGACCCCGATATTATTAATGATCACTTCTTAACACAAGCTGGGTCAGATACAGTATCTTTATCTCAATTAACATTTTTTGAATATCACAAATTTGACACACAAAAACCCCAGTTTAAATTACAACCAGTCACTGAAAGTGATGTTGCTCGTTACATATATCAATAAAGTCCAATGCTATCGGAAGTGACTGTATTAGCCGTGATATGGTACTGCTTACACTTCCACAAACTTTGTCTATTGTCACAGATATGGTAAATGAGTCACTCACTACTGGCTTGTTTCCTTCCCAATGGAAAAGGGCACTAATCACTCCATTGCCCAAAATTGAACATCCCAATGATTATAACGATCTCAGACCCATAAGTATTTTACCATTTCTCTCAAAAATTCTGGAAAGGGCTGTATATAATCAGGTTGTACATTATGTTACTGCTACTAATATACTACCGTCACATCAATCAGGATTCCGCAGGGGCCGTGGTACAATGTTACAGCGCTGCTAGACGTGACAGACGATATACTTGCAGAACAAGATGTTGGACGTTTCAGTACTTGTTCTTCTCGATTCAGTGCATTTGACAGTCTTGACTTTGCTTCTTTCCAAGTTGTCCTATTATGGATTCGATGCACATGCAATCAAATGGTTTACAAGTTACTTGAGCAACAGATGGCAATCCGTAAAACTACGTAGACATGATGGCTCATACTCGGTATCCACTCCGAAACCAGTAAAGCGTGGAGTTCCCCAAGGATCCATATTGGGTCCTCTTCTCTTTAATATATATTGTGCAGATCTACCTAACGTTATTGAACATTGCAAATATCACTGTTACGCTGACGATATACAACTTTATATCTCGTTAAAGCCAACAAAAATTAGAGAAACATTGAAGGCCCTTAATGAGGATTTGGGTAGAATAGCTGATTGGTCTTCTAATAATTGTCTCAAACTTAATCCGTCCAAGTCTAAATTTATGATTCTTGGTACCAAAAAACAGATTGAAATGATCAAAAATAGCGACCCCGTTGTAAAAATTTTAAATATTGTTTACAGGAGGTTAGTGAAGCCAGGAATCTGGGTATTGTTTTTGATTGCCAACTCCGTTTTGAGAGCCATATCCGGAATCTTGTAAAGAACTGTTTTTATAAATTGAAAGTTTTATATAAAATAAGAAATTGTGTAAATGAAAAAACGCGCATCACTCTATGCGAATCATTAATTTTGTCTAGGCTAAATTATAGATTTGGTGTACGGACCTCGATTACTTTACAAAACTACGTCGAATGATTCAACGTGTACAGAATGCATGCTGTAGATTCTGTTTTGATATTCCTCCGCGTACACATGTATTCCGTTCATAAATAGGGCTTCAATGCTAAATATGGAATCACGTCGAATATTACACCTTGCAATGCTTATGTTCAACCTTACAAAGCTGAAAAGCCCAGAGTATCTTTACCAAAAGCTAAGGTTTCGCAATTTCCACGACCAATATGGAGATGGTACACCTAGGACTCTGAGGCCACCATTGGCAGCGCACTCACATAAAACAATGGCGTTTAGAGGATGTTTCCGCTATCAAGCGACCAAATGTTGGAATAATATACCCCCTCCAATTAGAAGTATTCCCTCGAAACTTACTTTCAAGCAAAAATTAAAAGATTTGTTGTTGGAGGAACAAAAGTCAAGTTGATTTGTCTTTGTAACCGTTATACATATAATGTACATATATTTCTTCATTTTCCCCAATATTTGATTAGTGGTTTTGGACAATATGAAAATTGATAGTGGTAACACTCAACACTCAACACTCAACACTCAACACTCAACACTCAACACTCCTTTTAAACACTTCACACTCTTATGCAATAATTCTATTTTCTCTTTTGTTTTTCATATTTATTTTATTATATGAATTGATAATAATTTCCTATATATTTTATGCCTATATGTTATACCTATTTCTTGTTTTAATATAGTTTTTTTTTTTTTTTTCTTTTTTAGTATATTAATATTTATGATAATGTAATAGGGCTGATTACAAGCTGTGGTCTTGTTACACGCGTCCTCGCGTATGTCTCTGGGCAGTGCCTGAATATCAGTGGTTTGCTGCTTGTATGCTGCAAACAATACACTGAGGTGCTGCCTTTTTACGTATGGGCTATGCACACACACACTACGTTACTCATACCGTTTTTTGTTATCTGTATTGCATTTTATTTTATCTGTATAATTGTTGTGTATTGTATTTTGTTTGACTTCACTAATGTAATGTGTATATCTGTTTTATTTTTGTTCTTATTATTACAGTGCCTTTTGTGTGTGTGTGTGCCTTTAACGTAAATAAAATTTTTATCTATCTATCTATCTATCTATCTTATGGGTAAGAGGCATGGGGAGGCCAATAACATTATAAAAAAAAACAAAATAATCTATTACTAATCAACCATTAGCCATTAGACATCTCTGAGTGTGACAGATAGTATGACATAGACAGTAGGAAGTAGGTACATTGTGTATGGTTATTACTAATATTAGGTTTTTTATAGCACGACCTATAATTTTACATAATCATACTCATCATACTAATGATTATGATGATAGCACAGATTAAATAATACATATTATTTATATTAATACCACAGATAGCATAAAGTTGCACCATTTAATTTTACCGGATATTATACATCCGATTAAACATGCAATCAACCGGCGGATAAATCGATATGGCGTTAAATAAAACATGAATTGAGTAACAGTACGTGTATGGGAGTGTGTGGTCTCCATGCGGGTATGGTATGGTATGCGGCGTATAGAAATGCAGCGCCGCAAGTTTGCAAAGTAGTCCATTGCAGTTCATTCATCGTGGAACAGACTATAATTATAGGCTGAGTTAACTAGGGTTGTGAAAAATCGATTATTGTTAGTGCAGGAATATATTTTATTAATCAACTATTTTCTACACGCCAAGTGGCCAAAAATAACACCAAGTGTTACGACCCAAAGGAACGACCTTGCAGTCTAAAGATCAAGAGGAAAAAAAAACAAGATAAACGTCAGGCGTAATCAATTTATTTAAGAAATTAGTTCATTTAATTAATTATTATGTAAACAAGAGCTATCGTTTAATTAATAATTATATTTTATACACAGTATCACAACTGATTTATATCGCGTCAAATATATACTAAATTCCACAATAAATATCATGACAAAATTAGTTCTAATGTTTTGGCGAAGATATCATGCAAAAAAATGTCTTTTGGCAATTGAATAAAGGTTATTTTCGTTGAAAATATTAAACAAAGTCAAATCAATGACATTAGAGTTACCTATAATTTCCTTATTATTTTTATAACACCTACAAAATTCCAAAGTAATCTAAATTATAGTTTTACCTAAAAGTATATAGGTAATTGAAATATGTTGCTACTCAGCATCTTTATGAAATAATAATAACCTAACGTAACGTGGCATAAAAATAGATTAAATAAATATTTCTGTTTAGACATAACTTCTATTGGATGAACACTAAATTAATCCAATCGAATTCGAAAAGATTAATGTAAATGTGTGCAAAATTGCTAAAAACATTTCACAAAGAATTGATCTTTTTAGAAGTTGGATAAAAATTAATACGCAGCCACTTAATACTTTTTTAAGTAGGATGAAAACTTTAGCTGAATTTGCAAATTCATTTTGTTATGCCTACTTATACGATTAGTCACTGCATCGGAAATCTATAGCCATTTTGCAAATGGTCCAGGCTTACCGTGTATGGCCTGCACCATATACGTTATAACGAGGTACACCGATGGGAATATCGTGTTTCGACGTCGGATGATACGTTCTGAGAAATGTAGCACCAATAAGTAACCAAATATTTAAGTTCTCGCTATGAGTTTCAAGGTTATACCTGTACCTATTTGTTTTATTAATTCACTAGCTTAACCGACAGACGTCTTGTCCTTGACATTAAATAAAAATTATATCTTCTAGTGTTCTGCGCAACTTTCTTATGTTTTTCTTTCATTACAACTTTTGTCTGAGAATAAAAAATACAACAAAAAAAGAATTAGCGAAATCGGTTCAATCGTATACGCGTGATGCAGACCAAGGGAAACTTTTGGGTTATATTTATTTTAAATACCGAATTATAAAAATTCTAAACAATAATTTTTTTTTTATTATTAATATTTAGTAAATTATTAGTTATGTTTAATAATTCTGTCTTTTTTATATCAGATATAATTTATATATGTCTCATTCCCTAATGATTGCTCCTTATATAATATGTAGCATCAATAGTAAAAATAATTAAACCATATAGGAACTGCCGACAACCGTCACCTGTCGCTTCATTATAACTAATTTTGTGAGTCGACTGCAATGGTCGATTTTCTATTACTATTTTAACTACATGAAATGGGTCTGTCTGTCGCTTTGCACACGTGGGGAGGCAAAATATACAAGCTTGTTTCGGCTGACAAATTTGATGATTTTATAAAGATATTATGCAATTTGTACTTATCTTAGTTCTGCATTTTCAAATAATAATATTTTTCTGGTTATAATCTATTTTCTGTGTAGTATATATAATATGAAATCATAAAAAAAATTAATTAATTGAATAGTTGTCTGGTACCTATGACTCGGTCTGCTTAACTGGTAGTTAAATGGCGCTGTGTTAATTTATCAGGGTATTTTATTATTATTATTTTATACATAGTTTAGTAAACATTTTAATAAAAATGTATTCTTTACTTGTTCCAGGCGTGGGCCTCATCACCCGTAAAGCGGCTAATGCCGTGACCCCCACAGTAGAACTCCGTAAGGATGGCGACAGCTACGTACTAGTTACATCCTCCACCTTTAAGACCACGGAGGTTAAGTTCGTCCCCGGACAGGAGTTCGATGAGGAACGCGCTGACGGAGCCAAGGTATATTTTTTTGTTTTTATAGCATAGGCGACAAACTGCCTTATTTTCTGACTACTCTACTGCTGTTGGCCGCAGCTGGCTTTTATAGCTTCACCGGACGATGGGGGGCGAGTGCAGATGGCTCTCCAAACCCGCGGAAGGACTTTTGGAGCGGCTGTAGGCCAACTCCAGTCCGATGGATACGTGACTCACTTCATAATAAGTGACAACCATGAGCACCCATAACACCAGAGCAATTGCAGTGCATTGCCGGCCTTTTAAAAGGAAATAGAAACAGTATAAACTACAGTATAAAGAGCATGGCACCTTAGTCTTCCTTAATGATGAAATTTCATTGGGGTTACAGTTTATCTGCCTTGAAATTACAGAACAAAACTATATTTAGACAAAAGATTAAATTTTATATTCATAAGTAAATACTATACGTTTGTATTGGTCTGAAAATCATCGACATCAAGTGATATAAGGAGGTTTATTTGCAACCGATAGATATTCTTAGTTAAACACGGTTAAAATATATCTTTAGCAAAATAATAATGTATTGTAATCACAATTCGATCCTATATACTTCAGCAGTAGAGTCTATTGTATCTTTCCATTTACAGTTAACATAATGCTTTATTCAATATTATATTCCAGGTCAAGTCCGTGTGCACATTTGAGGGTAATACTTTGAAGCAGGTGCAGAAGGGAGGCGACGGTCTGGAGGTCAGCTACATTAGAGAGTTTGGACCCGAAGAACTGAAGGCCGTAAGTATACGAGTATAATATATACATCATTGAAATGACAATCTTTCGCAATTTTGTCTTAGAAAATAATAATGACAACATCCAACTCTTTCAAAGTGATATTAATGTCTTTATTTCCCATAACATTCCAGACTAGACTTAGTATAAAGTCTTAAACATGAGTAATAAATAATTTACTTTGGAAGATGTTTCGGTCGAAGGTTAGGCCTTCAGCAAAACACATAGTATAATACTATTACGCATAGTAGTAAAGCAGTAAAATTACCAGGTGGCATGGAGGCATGACGCCTTAATCCTTAGGAATGGTAAAGAATAAGACGTACTATGAGCGTAATATCAAGTCCTGGTATCCGTAGTACCGTCAGATTATTTATCAGTCCAATTAAAAATACGACAAATAAAACAATAATAATAATATTATATTTAAGACTATAGGTTTTATGTAAAAGATGCTGATGATCTCATAATACAATATTCATATCAAATTTTATTAAAGTCCATTCATAAAAGTAACGAACAGACATATAGAGACATTTTTGTATTTATTTTGCATACAAAAGATTCCCATTGAACATATAAATAAATAACATGCATATTGTTAGTATTTGTCCTAATAATACGATTCTGTAAGCGTTTTATCAACTTATTTCACTCATCGCTTCACGGAAGGCATTCTTATCCACTTGTCACATATTAAGTTCCTACAGAGCAATCGAGTTTGCCTATATTTCTAAAAAATCAGTAGTGGCTGTTTTACCTCCATCCCGCTGTCCAGCGTGTGGCACTGCAGTCGCTATCGGCTTTTACAGAATACCATTGTAGAATCTCACCGCATATTCCGCTTTTGAATTCATAAATGATGCTTACAGAATAGTTCTACTGATCAGGAATATATTTTTTGTTTTTTTTTCAGACAATGACAGCCAAAGACGTCACCTGCACCAGGCTGTACAAGGTGCAATAAAGAACAAAAGACTGCGAGCGGCGCTCCAACAACATTATGCTACTTTATCATAGCACAAACAATTATGTTAAATTATGTTTTAAATTACCTATATTTAGGACTAGTAAGTTAAACTTTGGTTCTCGTTCCTTAAAAAAAGGATAGTGTATTATTATTTTTGTATGTTCACTGCGTATTTATAACTCGCCAAAGTTTGTGTCAAAAATTAACGTATAACATCTTGTAAAACTGTTGTATAAGTTTTCAGTGCATATTTAAATAAATTGTTTTTGTATTATTATTATGTGGGTTTGTTTTAAATTAAAACCTCAATTGTCTATACACAATATATCACATTTATTTTTTATTTTTGTAATTGGAATGGCAAACTAGTTTATGGCTCACCTGATCTCCTAAGTCCGTCTTCTATATAAGTGAGCGCTAAACCGACACTGACGTTACACCAATTATAATAAATATTACTACAGATCTCTTATACAAGATGAAAATAACAATTATAAGCGTACGCAATGAGCTTAGAATGTACCTTAATCCTACACCTGACTGGGGAGAAGGGGGCGTTAGCAATGTTGGTAATGTGGATGTAATCCTAGTAATTTTGGATGATAATGGAATGGTGCACCACCTGCGCTAATGGTATATGCTGGCGGTGCACCAGTGGAGGATGATAAGATGAACATTAGATCAGGTAGCCCATCGTGATAAATTCACCAGAAATTTATCACGATAGTTTCCAGGGGTTCCCCCTGGAGGTCAACCTGACATGGCGCATTGCTACTAACGGGGACATTTTTTTTATACAACTTAAGTGGCAAACAAGCATACGGCCCATCTGATGGTAAACGGTAAATGGTAACGTAAGCATGAGTCCACATTACTAACAATCTCCTTCCCCCCGATGCAACCCTAGTGTGAGCTAGCAATGTACCATGTCAGGATGACCACCACCTGGAAACCATCAAGTTGTATTGCTGGTGAATTGGTTACGATGGGCTAACTGACCTGATCGTATCATCCTCCACTGGTGCCCCGACAGCGTAAACCGGTAGCGCAGGCGGATGCATCATTTCATTATCATCCATAAAAAAGTAAAGTCCCGGGAACTGCTCGCAATTTCCCTCTGCCACACGATGATCCTGGCACTCGTTTCTGTTTGTCTCAAAAAAAAAAATGGGTCGATATAAATATACACGCATATTTTTTAACCCGGTTGCAATATCTTACTAATATTATAAACGCGAATGCTTATGAGTATGGAATAGTATGGATGGATGTTTGTTTCTTTTTCACGCAAAAACTACTGAATGGATTTTGATGAAACTTAACAGCAATATACACGCATATATATATCAGAATATTATAAACGCGAATGCTTATGAGTATGGAATGTAAATGTTAAAAAACTACTGAATGGATTTTGATGAAACTTAACAGCAATATCGCTTATATATCAGAATAACATAGGCTGAAATTTAAAAAGATATTTATGTTAAGTTAATATTTAAGTAAGTGTTATGCAGACGAAGTTGCGCGGGTCAGCTAGTATGAAATAACGCAAGTAAAGTACGAATTATAGATACCTACTCATATCAACTCTTATACTGTGAGCGCATTTCCAGCTTGAATGTGTTGCGTTACCTTCACGTTCCAGGGGAGGACAATGCGGACAAAAGCCGACGTATGAAGGTATTCAGACAGTGGCATTGTTCTATTTATGTTTGATATTATACTGGCTTCTTGTTTTTTAATCCTTTATATTCGAATTTACCATTCGTTGATTGTTTTTGAAAAATGTGTTTTATAAAATTAAATAAGTATTGTTTAAATATAAATAGGTACAATACAACCATAATGAACATATGGTTGAAGTTGAAGTGTAATATTATTGGAATTTCATAAATACAAGTCAAAAAATTATTTTTTAGGAACGCAGTAAATTGTTTGTTTGTAAATTATTAAACATTATTATGCAAATATACCTATATGTAATAAAAAATATATTATGGAAGTCCGAGAAAGAAAGAATAATAAATAAAATAAATTGTGAACGTATCATGACCCAGTTTTAAAAAATTAGGAAAGCAATCTCGAAGTTTATAGGGAGGCAAAGATATTCAAATTGTTTGCGTTAAATTTACTAAAGCTTTACAAATAACAATCTACTTCTAATATATGTGAAGGAATGGTAGAACTTTTAATAGTGCCGAACACTTCACTGGCTGGTGATTATCAAAAAATTGCTGACAGATAGAAAGGAAGTTCTTTATTTATTTTAAGCATTACAAATAATTTTATGCCTACAATACAACAAAAAAAAAGTCTCAAGTGGTTACAGCTCACAATTTATTGACACATATTAATATTTTTATATAGATATAACTGTGGCGTAACATAAACTGTCTATAAAAACGGCGAATATTTTTTGCATAATACTGTAATCGCTTCTGCTGCTATAGGATAGTGAGGCAGTATAGTAAATTGCTAAATAAAATATTAAGTAAGGTACCTACATAACGTATTTTGTTTCAAGTCAAATGATGAAATCGTGCATGGTGACAACTGTATAGAATATGAAGCGCAAAAAGTCAGAACTTTTAGCTCATAGTGGTATATTCTTTGTTCTTAATTCGCAAGAATTAATGACACTGTTTTCAGGGAAGAATGCGTGGAGTCGGAACTGTTAATTCTAACTCCAAACCTAGAAAATGATTATTTTTCTTTGGTTGAACTGCCATCTAACGTCCATTAGATGAATCAAGTAATATCTGTAATTACTTCAATTAAATACTTATGCTACTGCATTCTAAGTTTTTAAAGTTGGTTTCCCTATTTGACGATAGATGGCGATAAAACAATAAATTGTTATTAACTTTTCTATTAAGTATAAATAAATACAAAACAAACTAATGTTGTTAGTAGAACCCACGGAGTATATTTTGTAATTTCATTTAAAAAGTATTATATTTGGTATGGATATTTTGATTGTGAACGCACATAGCATACTGTCAGTGTCAAATTGACAATGACAGTCTCCGTACCAGTCAAAACAAAACATTGAATATCTACCTACTCCTTACTGTCGATTGGATTTAGTTCTTTCTAGTGATATCAACTTAATGTCTAAAGTACTTGGATCGAATTTTGCACTTCAGCCGGTTCTTACTTAGACTCCGTGCTTGTTCAAACTTTATACTGTAGCGCCGTTCGTTGCGTATATCTGCGTTTCCCCCGGCCGCGCTTCGAGTCCGAGCTCCGAGACTCCGACAGTTCCGATCCCGACACTATACTTATACATTATTATGTTATTCAGTGTAAACGAATCGTTACTGTAGTGTATACGTTTGTTTTCACAACGTAATACTACGATTTTATCGATATCTGTCAAATATTTCGATTACTGTGCTTATGCGATAATTTTGTTATTAATTAATATTTGTGTTTAACATTACGATGCCGGTTTAACAAAGTATTACCTTTATGTCTTCTGTGTGTTATGTGGATATAATGCCTGGAATTTGTGGTGGTGTTGTGTTTTGTGTGTGACTGGCTGCAGTGCCGTTTTGTGAGGATTAGGCGTTCCTTTTGGAGTATAAATACGAACAAGTAAGTAAATATTTACATAAACTCCACACATGTGTCTTAACTTGGTCAATATTATTTGAGAATTATCAGATTAGTGAGTTTGCTACCTACTGTCTATATAAATGGTACAGAAAAATATTAGTTTATTAGAAATCGATAGATATAGTAAATTTAATGTTACATATGTAAAATCAGATATTAGTGGGTACCTTCTTAATTGTATTCATTCGCATTTAATTACTTGAATTTTATAATTAATTTTAATAATAAGGTGTCACATATGTGAAATTAGAAAAGGAAAGATGTAGAGGATCACAGACTATAATTTTATAACATTTATTTATTATTTACAGTCCAAAGTACATATAAATAGCTATGTAGTTTGTCCTGTGTGCCAGATTAAAGTATTGATTATGTTCCTCAAACAGATGGCTAGAGATAATGTATTTAATGTGAAATCTAACAACGCAAAGTAAATAATCTTTATATACTGGACATTGTGGTATAATAATTCTAATTAATTAATAATTAAGTATTAATGTATTTATTAACATGTATATAAAATATGTTAATGAGAATATTTTAATCAAAATTAAAGGGAATATTTATACATATAATATGATGTTGAATTTATTATTTTATTTTACAATATATAAGTACTAATTTCCTGTTTCAATTTGAACTACATTTGAATGACATAAATAATATTAACATTACATTAGGATATGTACACAAACTTGCCATAAAAGGACTAAATGATAATAAAACCCATAACAAAATTTGTCAAGTGGTTTAGAAGAAATAAGCAGATAAACAGACATGTACAGTGGCTTTTTTTATATTAAATATTTAGAGTTAACAATGTACCTAGTGTTCATTTGAATATATATAGCTAATAAAACATGAGATAAAATAATATTATTAAACATTAAAAATATGAGACTTTCTTAATTTTTATTATCACTACTAAATTGTTTATTAGAAATCTATTAAGAAATATTAATTTCCTTTGCGGACACAATATAGTGGAAAGTAGTATGTAGTAGGTTATATTACATGCGTTACTAGGTGATCATGACATCAAAAATATACCATGTATTTTACATTTTATACAATGTAAATTGAAGTTATATATATATATACATGTATGGTGCCACTCATGGTTTTCCTTCCTCCAAGTCATTATGCAATAAACTAATTTAAATCATATACATATTCCTTATGTATATGATTTAATATAATTTAATGCTTATCCAATTGTACTAAAAATAAATAAGTATGTGTCTAATATATAATAATAATATTTCAGGACAATTCACACAGCCTCATATAGTAGTGTAGCTACACAGAGCTTGTATTAAAGGTGCTAGACAACTGTTATAAATACATATCCATGTAAAAAATGTATCTACATTTTTTGTCAATATTATAATAATATACATATAGAGAACACCCATACTATATATAATTATTTACCATATTACTAACTATTTGAGATCTCTTATTTTCTTATCAACATAGGTCATATGTTTTACTATCCAGCTATCGAAGCTTTGTGGTCTGGCTTATTTTAAGTATATCAAGTTACTTGGTCACATATTTAAAAAAGTATTTATTCTACTGGAATATACACTACTTAGGGTCTATAAAACTAGAGTAAGTAGCCATATAAATGATTGTATATAATTTTCTATATATACATACATAAGTATACCCTTCTTACATAAAAATGTTATAATACACATAATTAATATCAAATACAAAAGATAGCCTATGTTATTCTCATGATACAAATAAATTTTATCATGAAATTTCTTTGAGATCCATAAACAGCTGTTTATCTATGACAATGTAATAAACAGACAGACACATTCGTTCGCATTTCTAGATATACCTATATCTCTTTATTTATTATTTAACAACAAAACACGTAAATATGTGTAGGAAGCATTATCACAGCATAAACTTCCTTAAGGAAATTTTTCCTATTTATCAAGTCAAGTCATTAAACATTAAATGAAACTAGTGAATTGACCACAAAAATCTACATCTAATCTACTCTGACCTAAGCCCTTAAATAATTCACGGTACCCGCCTAAAATATGTTAGGGCGTTTATGTCGAGTCGCCGGAGGGGAGAGCTCAACAATCGATAACATTCTCGCGGCCCGTCAGCTGTGTCGAGCATGCAACCTGTCTATGGAGATTGTTTCTTAAATTATGAAATATCTCGATAGGCTAAGGCATATTACCAAACTTTCCGTGAAATACAATCTTGTACTTAGGTTTGCAATAGATCTCGACTCTACCTATTCATTGAAAGGTACCTGCGTGTCATAATACCTAATTTGGTGCATTGATTTGTGTTAAGTAACGAAAAAAGTTTAAAAAACCTTTTTTGTGATTAGAATGGTAAGCTAACTGATGGCACCTTAGTGGTAAGTGTACTACGGACATTCCGCTATCATTTGACGCCCGTGATATTACTAATGGAGTACCAATCTGGACGATGTTAGATGCTAAGATGTTATGCCTCGTATCCTTTAATTTCACTGCCTACTTTAGTTTGAGAAGTCTTCAGTTTAAAATGGTATTTATTAAGTACCAAATTCAGTTCTCAATTGGCCAATAGCAAAATATACTATCGTCAGCTTTTAAGTCATTATCAGGTATTGAACAAACATATTTCACAAAAAATACAACTTTACAAACTATTCTACAAAAAATAACCATCTTCAATAGGTACAAAATTGCACAATTTTAGATAACGTAACCAAAATCAATGCAGATTTAATTAAATCACATAATATTAGATACATTCTTTCTCTCCTTATTCCAGATTAGAATACATAAAATTACATGTAACTGTCAAACATTGTAACATTTGAAATTGTAATAAATACTAAACCACAACATTTTGTTCCATTGCATTGCAAGATCGTAATCTTGAGGAGCTGCGGTTTGTACACAAAAGGTTGCACGTTGCAGTAATCCTCGTGTTTTCCATATTGATGCTTTACAGATGATAAATACAAATGAGGATATATTATATTATTTTTAAAACTTATGTTTATATTTACATTAACATTTTTATAACTATGTACAGGATATTAATATACTTACTATGTTTTCGTCTTTCCACAATTGTTTCGACTTTTTTGGTCAGTGCGAGGTGAGACGTTGGAACGAATGTGTTGCACTCGCCCTGAAGAAGACTTTGGTATAAAATCGAATCAATAGACGACAATTTACTTACGAAAGTAATTCTTTTTGGTAGGTTTTTTAAATTCACGTACATTATTATAATAATATGAGTAAAAATTCTCAAAACTTCAAAAAGATTACCTATTTTCTTTCTTGCTTTGTATTGTGGATATGAAAATGTGGCCCCAGTAATTTTCATCTCCATAGGGCGGTAAGAGTAAGGAGGTAAGATTTTCGGGAGAAGAAAAAAACTCGAAAGAAAAATCTATTTTAAGGATACTACGAGTAATCGCTACTCAAATTGAGTAGCGTTCCAATAGGTTAATACTAATCTTCTTCTGTATCGAGAGACACATGCCCTGCATTGTGACATTACTAGGTTATTATGGTATATAGTCGTAATCCAAGGAGGACAACGAAGAAATTCCACCATGAAAGCCACGACCACTCTGTTAAGAGTGTACGACTAAAGAACTCGTAGTCCTTGGACCTACTTTTTTTCTTATGATGGAATGGTCATTACTCCTACACAAACAATATACGCTAGCCAGCCACAGGGAAGGAGAAGCAAGATTTTTAAGGGGAGTAAAATTGCATAGTTTTACCTCTTCGCTAACGGTATACGCTGGCAGAGCACCAGTGGGTAATGGAAATTCGGTACTATTAGTTACGTTAATTATTTGAATGGGCAAGTTTTCCCACGGGAACGACATATAACGGGTTTGCGCGGAAAACAGCTCAATTACTCATTATAGGTGTATAATATTATATTAAATAGGAAATCCAATGAAGCGTGGGCGAGTCTGTCGTGGTCAGGAGTATTGAACGGAAAAATGCCGTTAACCAAACAGCTTTCCTTAATAGGAGACTTGGATATGAATCTGCCGTCAAAATATTTCATGTTTGAATTGTTATGGACAAATATTTGAATAGAGAGGATATGCTAATTTTATTCTTTGGTGGCAACGCACGTGTCAGAGTCTTATGTGGTATATATATATATATATCATATACGATCATTGTGTATGGGACGGAGGTTGTATAACTACTGTATGGTATATAGTATATATGTGTATATTGAATTCTTGCCTTTTTCTGCTATTTAGATATAAATTACGTGGCCTTGTAAGATCCTTATAACAACAGAAAGAAAGATTTTAATGGTACTTAATTATTATTAAGGTTTTATTTCAAACTTCCCTCCTTTATCTCTTCCTTAGTTGCCTGAGGACGACAACAAGTTAAGTGTGTGAGACTAGCGTAACTTTTATTTGTGGTCTTTTTTAGAGTGCCTCATAATTTCGACAGAAATTTGTCTGGAGTTTCCATTTTTTTTAGTTATTGTCAACATATAATTTTTGTTTCAGCGCTAAATTAGCTGTAATTATGGCTATAACCGAAATTGCCTCAGCATATGACGATTTAAATACGCAAGTGAAGCTCCGGGAAAGATTATACTTTAATAAGATTCTCATCAAATGTATGTAGTAATGAAGTATCTAGTGTATGGATTCTTTTTTTATTAAAAGCGAATGGAAAACTTGGATAAGTCCCGTTTCATCGTTTTGGATCCAACGACAAATTATCTATACTTAGTCCGTCACAGGAATGATATTTTCGACAATATAATGAAGGTCAGGTATATTCAATGTCAATAAGAATGGAAAGCAACAGGCCAAATGCCGGACAAGGTAACCTAAGCGGCCTTCAAACCATCCACGCCTATAATACCATAATATTTCATACTTTTATGGGTATAATAGTAGAAATTTACATACAAAATAAGTATAAAGAAATATAATGACAATAGAATCTTGA